GTTAGGTGAAGTTCGCGAGGTGCGGTGCCTTGATCACAGGTGCGGTCCTGGAGGCGCAAGAGATAGGCCGCAGGTGCGAGAAGCCTGGGAAGAAGGTATAAATTGAAACCATCGCGAATTTTGGGTTATTCTTCACCATTTTTGTACAGATTTAGAGCTTTTGGGAGCAATTTGAAGAGGGATTTGTATGAGTAAATTCAGTGTTCTGAGGCCTTAGAAGCCTCCTTTTTCCTCACCTTAATTTGCGTGCGCGGTCCGGGCGTATATCCAGAACGCTTTTATGTGGAAATGTGATGGAAATGTTAATTTCGCCTTTAAAATTTAATTTAAGTTGACTTCGGTTAACAATTTCGGTAAACGGACCCGGATCTGTGTTCCAACGATCCTGGGAGGTCCACAGTAAAATATGGGACTCGGACGTATGCCCGGAAATAAATTCCGAGGTCCCAAGCCTTAGAAATCAATTTTTGAAAGAAATTATTTTGCTAAAATGTTTATGAATTATTTAACTATTTTTTATTAACTTATTTTCCTTTTAATTTCTTATTTAAAAGCTGGCCCAATTTTTAGGCTAATTTTCGGACCAATTGTGGCCCAAACACTTAGCCCATTCACTTAAGCAGCCCAATCAATAACCCTCTACTTTAACCTGGCCAGAGATTCGTTCATTTGACCCGCCCGTTCCCTATCTGATCTTGGCTGTTGATCTTAAATGATCAACGGCCCCTAATAAACTAACCTCTTTTAATTACCCAACCTTCTAACCCTAATCCCCATTTCCCTAAAGACTGACGCCCCGTTTCCCTCCATCTGTTCTCTTTTTTTCTCTCAAACCCTAGCATCCGCCTCTTCTAAATCTCCCAACTCCAGTTCTAATATGGAATCTCTCCATGATTCTCCTTTCATATATGCTCGATTCCTCTATTATTTACACGATTTTGGTATCACATAATATTTGCCTCTCTTTGGCAAGTGTACAGACCTAAATCAAGAGCAATCATCACTGATTCCTTAAGATTCGAACGATTTTTCGTCTATATACATCTATGGCGAGATTATACGGGTCCGATTCAGTGAGAACTTTCGACTATTTTGGTTCTCCATCATGAACTAGGGTTTACCTAATTTTTCTCCTAATCCGATTTTAGTTGATTCTGCATGCTATTATTGCCTTATTAATGTTTGATTTTACAGTGTTTCCTTGTTCATTTGCTTGATTTCTACTACTACATAAATCCCTCCCCTATTTCCCTTTGAGACAGACCCTAATCACCAGATTCACTAAAAACTAAAGGCTATCACTCTATTATTCTCTCATTCTCTTGTTCTATACTTTGACTCTTGACCGGCTGAAATCCAAGGCCACCGGAATTTGAATTTGATTATTCAACCTTTCTTAGTGCGAGCACTGCCCGGGGTTCATTTGAGACTCTTGGAAACTCTGACGCACTAAGACTCTGGGTTCTACTGTTCTTTGTGGACGTTAGAGTACTGTGGAGTTTTGTTCGATTAGCCTAGTGTGTTGGTGCCTGAATGTTTACGTCTGCTGCTTGGCATGAGTTTGCTTCTCTGCTTTGTTCTGAATCATTGTAATGACCAGCTCATACTTAGAATATACTCTAATCTCTGTTAAGGCATTCATATTAACCATGACCTGCTTCCATGCTAGTTCTGTCACTGTATTATGTCTTTGGTCTGCTAAATCATGTATCCCTCAGTGATTATTTGAGATCTTTAGAATAGCTATCCTAACTTGTACTTTTCCTATAAAGTTTGATACTGGTTTTCTTCAGTGATGTAAGTTGGCATGTCTGTTTTCTAGTACTGTGATGGATACTTAACATAATTTGGACCACTAGGTTTTAAATCCTTTAAGTTAGTTCTCTACTTTGGACTCGTATGGCATTGTGCACCTTTGTATGTTAATCTCATAATCTCAGAAAATCTAACTCCCCTAACTCTCTCGATATGTTTTCTGCCAATATGTTATCTCTTTCTAAGTGTTGAACCTGTAATAGCAACTTGTCCTTTAAGTCTTGTTGATTCTCCTAACTGGCATATTCTGTGTTTAAGCAACTCTGCTACGTTTGCTTCTAAAGTACAAGTGCACCTCTATCACTTAATCATTGTTCTCTCACTCTCATTTGTTATTTATGTTATTCTGGGTCTATCATTCTTGGCCGGTTGAAAGCCAAGGCCACCAAAACTCTCCCTATTGACCTCCCTAGTGTGAGCACTGCTCGGGGTCCATTTGAGACTCTTGTAAACTCTGACACACTAGGATTTGGGGTCCTTTGGCCACTCTCTTTGCTGTTGGAACTTAAGCTGTCCCTGACACTTAGCTTCTCTCCCTCATTTTATTTGTTGAATCTGCAAACTGGGTTGCTTCAGTGATTTCTGTGTGATTCTATAATCTATTTGGGTCATATGTAACTACTTGTCCTGGCATGAGTTCCTATATGGCTTTTGGGCTGTGCTGACGGGCATAGTCTCCTGTTTGGATCTGGGCATGCTATTTGCGAAGAATGAGCTTGTGAAGGCCCAGGCAATACTGGGTATCTCCCTTTTGGGCCTACTGTTAGGCCTACTATTATTCCTTGTGTAATAGTTATACTTATATTCATTAGTCGTCCTGTAATAATTTTGTAATAAACAATTGGGGTGTTAGTGAAATTGGAGAAACGGGTATTTTCTAATGTTTGCATAAAAGGGTAGAAAACATGCCTATAGGATTTACATGACTTACTTGTTATTTTATCCAACCTGCATCTATGCTATTTAGTTTTCATGTACACTAGTAGAAACCATGCCTATAGGGAATCACACACTCATTCAACTTGTTTACTATCAAAACATGAGCTTAAGTACTTTATTCATTCCCCATGTCTACTGCTATGTGTTACTAGACAGCATGCCTGTAGGAAACAAAAAGTCAATAACTGTCCTTCAATTTGCATAACTGCAGCATATTCATTAGATACCATGCCTATAGGATTATATTAGCTTATGTTCTACTGATCTTCATCTAGATATCATGTCCATAGGGTTTAATTGATTAACTAGCTACTGTTGTATCTATCGCTCGCCTAGAAAACATGCCTATAGGGACGAAGTGTTATAGAATCAGTTTCAATCGTCAACTCTTAGAAATCATGCTCATAGGAAGTATGCTAAAAATCAAACACTGTCACACCTCCTTTTTACTACCCCCGGAAGGGATAGGGGAGTTTTTCCAATTAAAGTGACAATCGAAACGCGATTATTTATTAGAATCAGAGTCGCCACTTGGGATAATTTATGGTTTGCTGATGTTTTAAGCGTCAACACCACACAAGGGGGGGGGGGGTGATTTGTGTGGTACCCAATTTTTGCTCTAGAAGAGCCTGGTTCTTCTAAGTGTACTAACTACTGCTATTTGCGGAATAATAAATACAGAAAATAAAGAACACAGAGATTTTTACGTGGAAAATACCTGGCTCAAAAGGTGAAAAAAACCACGACCTACTACTCAGTAGGATTTTCCCAAACTTCCACTAAATCACTGAGCCAAACCAGCATTTACAAAACTCTTGTAAACCTAAGGATTAAACTCTAATCCCGTTGTGGCACACAGCCTCAACTGTTGCGACAACTTCAAATTAACTCTAACTTGAATACTCAAAGTACCTAATACAATTGCTTCTATGAAAGCTGAAAGGTACAAGTTTAAATCACCTACTACAATTGAACTAAAATAAAAGAAAGACACAATGGAATTTGTTCTTCTATCTTGTCCAAGTAGCTTCAGGAATGCACACTTAAA